GAATAATATTCTGAGGCTTCTGACAAAGTTTTTGTAGTCTACGATTGTTGTTGTGAAGTGTCAAGTGGCTTTATCTTTCTTCTGCTTCTATCATGTAGACCTCATAAGCATTTAAGATTCATATTTGGAAAATTAAAATGCTCTCTCTCTCTCTCTCATACTGATCAGGTAAAGAAATATATTGTACTATTTTGTGTACAGTACAACGTCTAGAAGAGTAAACTAGGTTACTACCATGTGAGCCATGACAAATGTGACAATGTGATCTAATCACCAACAAATGTGACAATGTGAGCTAAACACCATCAAATGTTCCCATGAAGAGAACCACTTAACATTACAAATGTGACACTGTGATCTAAACACCAACAAATGTGACAATGTGATCTAAACACCAACAAATGTGACAATATGATCTAAACACCAACAAATGTGACAATGTGATCTAAACACCAACAAATGTGACAATATGATCTAAACACCAACAAATGTGACAATGTGATCTAAACACCAACAAATGTGACACTGTGATCTAAACACCAACAAATGTGACACTGTGATCTAAACACCAACAAATGTTCCCATGAAGAGAACCACTTAACATTACAAATGTGACACTGTGATCTAAACACCAACAAATGTGACAATATGATCTAAACACCAACAAATGGTACACTGTGATCTAAACACCAACAAATGTGATACTGTGATCTAAACACCAACTAATGTGACACTGTGATCTAAACACCAACAAATGTGACACTGTGATCTAAGCACCAACAAATGTGACACTGTGATCTAAACACCAACAAATGTTCCCATGAACAGAACCACTTTCTGAGCCTTGCTGCGGATGACGTATAAAAAGGGTCGATCAACTTTGACCTCCAGAGCTGGTGTTGGCAACGAACTCCTGAAATGGTAAAAAAAAAACATGAGTCAGTTGTAACCGCATGAAATTTGAGATATTCTGGATTCCTTTAAGTCAGAGGTTTTTAAACCGTTCTGACCCTGGGGTCCGCGGACCTCAGTTTGAGAATCACTGCTTTGCGGGACAGTGAGAGCATCTTTACATGTCTGGTGTAACCGAGAGATCTAAAAAAAAAATTGATGGGGACTTGTTAGGAAATCCATATCAATCTAAAAAGTGAGAACCCATTTGAAATAGGTTGGAGAATGATAAAGAAAATTAGCTCTAGAAATGATTGTTTCTGCTTCTTGTCAAGTGTCCGACAGCTGCTATGAAAGTTAACGCCCCAGTAGGGCATCTTCGTTTTTTTTCCATGTTTCAGATGTTCCTTCAGAGTTGAAATCTTCCGTAGGGGTTGCGGGTATTTCCGCATTATCATGCAATCTTTGTTTTTTGTTGGGTTTTTTTTTTGGGGGGGGGGAGTGAAAAAATTCTATTATAATGCTCCAGAATCTAAATTGCTGATGTGTAGGATTACTTACATGAAAGTCATTCTAATCGCTGTTGCAGCAGCCGCCTCACAGCCAGTTTCATTCACACTAATGACAGCTTTCTGAATAACTTTGTCTAGGAACAGTTTCTGCTTCGCTATGCCCTTGAAATCTGCCTGAAAAGTAAAATGAGGTTGTACTTCTGTAAAATGTATAAAATTACGTAGAAAAGTGAAGCAGTTGCAAGTAAGTGTTACTATTCTCAGGGAAAGAATGCCAGCAGAAGATTGGCGCTCTTGCTAAAGTTATTAACTGAATGATTCATATACTGTGTTTGATTTATAACATCACAATGCGGTGTTAATTTTTTTTTTTTTTAAATGACAACGCAACGTCATTTTTATCGGCCCCCGAAAGGTGAAAAGACGCTATTAGTTTTGTGTGAAATGTCTGTCCATCCATTAGATCTCGTAAACTAGAAAAGATAGTGAAAATCCGACATTATAATATTTTAGTCCATTCAAAGTTCTGATGCAGCAGCTACTTTTTTCTTTTCTAAAAGCAAAAATATTTAATTTTTTAAATCACTTAAGCAAACATTTTTTTCACAAAAATACACCACTTTTACAACTATTCACTATTAATAGTAACAAACACTGGAGGCTCTTTAATAGGGGAAACCATATTATACCATATTTCTAACACATTTATGCAAATGGTTTTAGCTTTTTGTCGAAAAATATTTTTTTTTTACATTTGTATTGCTACGTTATGTAAGTTCTGTCCTACTAATTACTCAAAAATAATGTTTACTTTTTTTTAAGAGAAAAAATAAATTTAGTATGCATATAAGTTGGATATAATTTAAAACAACAATAATTAAGTAGTTTTTCATATTATAACGTTCTTTGCAATTCTCACTAGTGGGCAGAAGACACCAAACTAAACGATTTTTTTTTTACAGAATTTTTTATTTTTTGGGGGATTTCAATAAGAGGTTGACCCAAACAAAACAACTAGATCAATTAGATATTCATTATAAGACATCAGTTAGGCCAGGTTTACATTTAACTTCACATTCACTTTCACCAATCCCTTGGTTTGTTGTACCGTTGGGGCACCACAAAAGATCTGTCAACCTTTTTTCTCCATTCTTCTCAGTCATTTGTCTTTGATCGAATTTCTTTCTGAAATTATTGATACCTGGCTTTTTACCTGCCTGGGTGGATCACTTTGAGGCCGATATTAAGTATGTGTTGCCACACAAACTGTCGTTGTAACCTTGTTGTATCTGTAATAGTTAACTCGTACCTTCAAGGAAACTTCTGAGAGGGTGGGTGGATAGGTTTAAACTTTTTTGTTTTAAAAAGGATTTTAAAATATTTTGCCTGTTTTTGTTTACAATTCAGCTTTGTGAAATTATTCATAATAACCTACTTCAATAAATTATGCTTACCTACAGCGTTTTACTTAGTATTGATATTATTAATTTATCTTTTGAAATCCTCTCTCTATATATATGTTTCTCACTGTGATATGCCAACACTACGAGAAACCTGCAAGTTAATCTAGTAGGTGTTACAATCCTTTGTTACATTTACCTGGCTAGAGTTGAACGCTTTCTTTAATCCTAAGTTTTTTAGAGCTGGAACCAAATCAATCAAGTCACTTTGTATTTTAAATATTGGCAAGGAGAGGTTTAGGTTCCTTCTTTCTAGGCCAGTCAGTAACTCATCGAAAGGGTTGGCTAGAGCTGCGCTAGCCTTCATATTCTGATATAAAATAGTTATAGATAATAAAATTAATGAAACAAATTAAAGAAAAATTATCTAAAATAAGCAATTAGGTATTGATTACTAAACTGAACAATATTTTTTTTAAACCTAATAGAAATGTTTGTTTCAAAGTTTCGGGTGTTCCTTCAGAATTAAAGATTATTACACCATAGGCCAAAGCTTCCGAAAGACGGTTGGATGGGGGGGGGGGGGGAGTGTGACAGGCGGGTTGGCCATCAAGACGACAGTCTAAAGTGCATACCACACGACTAGTGGATGAGGGAAAGTAATGAGTTACGCATGATTGACATCGACAACAAATGCTTCACGATACTAGCTCAGGCATCACAAAAAATTAAAATTAAACAAGCTGATTCATTCTAACTCTTATCTCGTGTTGTCGAATTTTTAATGCAAAATAAAGTGATGGGAAAATAGTTAAGGGCCTGGAATAAGGGAGAGAGGAATCAACACCACGCAAAAAAACAAAAACAACTTTGAAATTGAAGTCAGGGGGGGGGGGGTGGCGTCTTTCATGTTTAAACGCACATACATTGGTCTTCTGGGCCCTAGAATTATAGAATATGTTTTTTTGTGTAAATGGAATAACAGTAGATACCTCTCGCTAGCATGTATTATGAGCATCTAAAATGAATTTTCTGACACTGTTTGAAGAGCTACATCCTGCTATTTTTTAACAGAAAAAAAGCAAAACTAATCAAGTCTACTTTTTACGGCAATCCATTGATGGAGAACAGCGACTGTTATGAAAAATAAGATCAATACCTAAAATATTTTATTTGGAAAAGGTCTGTTTAGCTAAGCTGGTGAAAGGGAGTTCTGTGTTCTTATTTTACGCCAATATTTTGCTGGCGTAGAGTTTCAAAAGCATTCGGCTCAACTCTACCTACAGTTTCAAATGGGGAGGGGAAGGCAGAGATCTGATGCTCTACATCCTTATTCCAAAAGTAAATTATCTATACTATCATCATACTCTTTTAGTACACAGCAGAGAGCTTAGGTGATAAGGTGGCGACGCTAAAACTTTCAACCCATTGCCATTTTAGTACAGATTATTCCTAGGTTTCTCCATTAGTAGTTATGCTTCACATGATAAATGTAATGAAACAACAAATACTAGTATACCAATAACATGGCTTTATTCGACAAAATTAGACTACAGTAAATAGTGAATGAAACCAGCACGTCTCGCATAACACTGATGCAGTCTATACACACACACACTGGACATGAAACACACACACTGGACATGACCTTCTGACACGCTGGACGCACGCAGAAAATCAACTCAGTTACACTACAGTAGTTATGCTCCACACGATAAATGTTTGTTTGTAGAAGGATTCCATAAAAGTTTTGGACTAGGGCTCAGTTCATATGAGAGCCTGGGCATTTGATATGGTTGGAACATGAATCCGATCTGAAAAAAACAAAAACGACACATACCTGTGTATTGAAAACTGCCTAACAATCCACGGATCTACGGCTCTATAAGCATTTCCCATGTTTACAGAACCTTGTATTCACAGTTTTCCTTCCATTAGTCGGGTAGTCAGCCAAGATTAAAGGGACCTTTGCTCATACATCTTCTCCACCGGACCCATTGTCTGAGTCAAGCATGAAAGCCAGGATTTAAACTGGTGATCAGAAGCTATCGGTCGTGGTGTACAATTATAATCACTCTTTAGGAATAGGAATTCGATGGATAAGTGAATATATGTGCTCCACCAAAAGTGCCAAGAAGATGTTGGAATGTCACTTTTTTCTGAACTTATTAATTAACTATACCCCCCCTCCTCCCCCCCCCCCCCAAAAAAAAAAAGTGTACGAAAGAAAATCACGCTTTGAATCAAGTAGAGGACAAAGTGTAGGACTTTTTGATGATTTCCTATGACTGAGAAGCGAGGCATAGAGAGTTACGATAGATTGATATTTTTAAGTCCCTCACCTTGCGACGTGCCCCAGGTAACAGCCTAAACAACATTCTTTTAAAGTATGCACCTTCCAAAGAAAGAGTTTTAATGAAACGTACCATCAAACCCTAGTGTTATTATATTCACCTGTAAAAGTTGATTCAGATTGGATTTGGCACTTGGTAACAATATATACATGGCTAATTCAGAGCCTTTAAAGTCTAGCTCAATGACTTCTGAATCGTGGTGGTTGGCATATCTTTCAAATGAAATAGAAAATAGTTATTTAAGATCTCAATATTCTCTAGTAAGATTTACTACACACACACACACACACACACATACACATACATACACACACATTATATATATATATATATATATATATATATATATATATATATATATATATATATATATATATATATATATATATATATATATAGCGGGTTCACTAGCCTAGAGATCAAAAAGTAAAGTAGCAATAAAAACCATAGCTTGCGAATTCAAAAACACAGCCAAATAAAATACTTAGAAAGTCTCAAAGATAAAGGTACATTTCTTTTCATATGCTAGGGAGTGCACGGTCCTTTTCCCTAACGCCATTTGAGAATGAAACAGCCAAGAAAACAATGATTTAGCGGAGTTTACGTTTCTATTTTTGAGATTTATTTCAATGACACAAGGATGCGACGCCTAGGATGTAATTATCTTCTCGTTTGAAAGAACGCCAGTGCCTTATAAGGTAAGAAGATAAGTCAAACTAACAGGATAGTTAAAAAAGAAAAAAAAATCTTTAAATATATATTTTCTAGGCTCATCGATTGTAGCAAAATGATTTCAATATGGCTTTCACTTATTGATTTAAAGATCAATTCACAACGAATTGGCAGCTATTTAGCGGTTATTAAGAAAATTTGATACGAAGATCAGATTCCGCGAAATTAAGATACTATTAAAATTTATTTTTATCTAGTTGGCAACAAGAAAGTTCAAATTAGTGTACTTGACATTGATTAGTTTATCGTGAAAATCTCCACTAGTCAAGAGAAGTAAATGAGTTTAAGTTGTATTCAAAGAGACTACTGTGTTTATTTTGCTGTGTAACGTCTATCACACATCTAAAAAGTGTCCATTTCTCCAATCCAAACATAACTCCTTACAGGGCAGCATAGAGAACAGTCGTTTGTTGCCCTAAAACCTCATGAAGTTAACTCACTTGTAAAATTGCACAATGTGCATGGTCGGAATCGTTTGCACTCCCGAGTTCAAAGAATAAAAAGGTTTTGGCTTGGTGTTGAAGGTTTTGAACTGGACAGCCCAAGAAGCGTTTAAGTAAACTGCGTTAATTATAATCATGGCTGTGCTGGATTTTACGTCGCCTTTGTTTAGAATGTCTGAAATCTTTCCGCGAGTTGCGTTGGCCACCCATGCGTTAATAGACCGTTCAGGACCTTCTGGATCAGTCATGTTAAAGTTGTCTACCTTGGCCTGGTACTCAGTAGTCAAACGTGTCCTACAAAACAAAACATTATCGACATTAAATATCACTATCATAGAGGCAGAAAGCTTTAGAGAAGAAAGACAACTTAAACAAGGTTACATAGACAATTTGTGTGGAAACACAAACTCAGAATCGGCCCCCGTATTGGTCTACCTAGAGCAGCGGTTCTCAACCTTTTATGCTCGGCGACCCCTTTTTACAATCCACCACTCTGCCGCGACCCCCCCCCCCCCTCACACACATACAGCAATAGAAGAGTAGACTATTTTCGATGGTCTTAGGCGACCCCTGGCAAATCGTCATTCGACCCCCGATGGGGTCGCGACCCACAGGTTGAGAACCCCTGACCTAGAGTCTTCACCAGGATTTGAACACGGAACTTCCGGCTCTTAATGCTTTACCCCTCAGCCACAGCATCTCCTTATTTTCATTTAGCGTACACTTATATATTTTTAAAAATATTTATTGACCTTATCCATAAATTCAAATAATTAACATGTTAAATGTAATAAAGAGAAACTAAAAAAAGATTTATTCTTCTTACAAAATTAGATACATTGGCAACACGAAAAAAAAATCTTGACGTACTTTAGGTAGTGAACTAGGATAGAAATGAAAAGACAGACTTGGACAAGACTTTTCCTTCGCAAAAAAAAAAATGTCATACAAGCTAGATCTCGATCTAGCTAGATCTCGATCTAGCTAGATCTAGACCTAGTTCTTGAATCTAGAACTATATTTAGATCTAGATCTAGAAGTGGATCTAAGTCTAAGTCTAGATGTAGAACTAAATCTAAGTCTAGATCAAGAATTAGATATAGAACTAGAACTAGATATAGAACTAGAACTAGATCTAGATCTAGAACTAGAATCTTGATGTAGAATCTAGATCTAGACTAGATTTGTTATGATTTTACACGTTCAATCTTAAAATTACTAGACCTAGACGCTAGACCAATGCTTTGATCAATAGTAGACCTTTTGCTACTGGGTAATGGTGTAGATCTAATATGGCAGACTATGCTGTTTCATACCTTATTCACTTCTTAATTATACTTTTGTTTAATTAATAAATAAATATGCACCCCTTGGCTGTCAGAAGATAAGCTATTGCCTTAATAATTAAAATTTTGTTCAAATTATTAATTCATTTATAATAAATATATTGTTACGAATCTCACTATCCAGGGTCTCTGCAAACTGCACCATACACCACCAACTTAAAGAACTTGACAACTCAGGGCTCCAAAGTAACGTAACACTTTAATAGCTGAATAAATAACAGCCAATACTGTACAATCGGCTACACGTACACTGTACAAATATCTCTCCGATAACACCGTTCCGCCGTATCAACTCTTGCACTGGCCTCTCCGTCTCGTTCCGGGCTTGCACTGGGTTCAACAGTTCAGGACTGACTTCACACACTAGGCTCGTTGTGTCGGACTCGATCACAGACCCAGATCAAGACGCCGTTCGTCTCAACTGTACTTGATAGTACTCCGCACTGAACCGTCGTAATGCTCCGTACAGAACCACACCGCTGAACTGTGCTGTAGTCGACCGTGTTCTGAATTCTTGTCGTGAACCTCCTTTCTGAACCTTGCTGTATTGAGCCCCTTTTCTCGACCGTCTTGACTGCGACACCTCCACTCTTATATAGGGTCCCTACTGGCCTTCTAGAACCGGACAGAATGCCGCTAGACGTTTCTAGGTGGTCAGATGACTACAACCCTCGTGACGCTATTGAGCTCTGTTCACGACGTCGATCCTTCCCGAACCATCATGTTGACACTCGTCTCGGCCGACCGTCGTAACTCGTCACGGTTGAGCGCTCGTCTAGCGCTGGCCTGGGGCGATTTGCGTCGGCTTACACTCACACCACTACCCCCATCTGTGCCACCACCAGGTTTATAACAATATTATAAATATATCTAGATCTGGACACTAGTTAGTTTTATTTAGATAGTAAAGTATATAATGACTATATGTCAAAACTGCGCGCTATAGATTTCTCATTTTATTTTTGAAACTTACAATTAAAATGAAGTTAGTATCAAAATTCTTTTTTAAAAACAAGATTTGAATCAGTATTCCATTAAATGAGTTAGTAAATAAATGGAAAATATAGTTTATCATGATCCATTAACACTTTTTCCATTGTGACTTTAGATGCAATTTTTTTTGCGCGAATCTATGAATGAAGCTTGAGTTATTAATGTCATTAATGAAGAAGTCTTTGAGCTTTTTAAAAAACTTACTTCCCCTGAAGTCTTTTATTAAAAAGTGGTGTATTTTTTTTTAATCTGCTTGCATAGATAATTTTAAAAATTAGATGGTTCACATTCGGAAAAGAAAAAAGTAGCTGTTGCATCAGAACTTTGAATAGTCTAAAATATTATGATGTCGGAGTTTCACTATCTTTTACTAGTTTACGAGATCTAAACGGCTAAACAGACAGGCTACACATAACTATTAGAGTCTTTTTCCCTTTCGGGGGTTGCTAAAAATGACAGTAAATATTGTAGATCCCCGAAAGAAGAAAACAAAATGGAGAGACATCTTGGACAGACTTTTTGATACCCTGTATCGGATTGTTTATTGTAGACCATAAAGTTTGGCTACATTAAAAAGGGTTTCAACCAATGTCTTTGAGATGGTGGAAATGTTATCCAATTATAACCTAGTACTGAAAATAAAAATTTCATAACATTGAAGGCAGCGATGCAATAGAAAAAAAACAGTTTCCTACAAGGTACCAAAAACTCGGAATGTTAGCAAACCAGGTAAAACCACATTAAAACCTATTTTAGTCATAACAATAACTAAACTGATTTTCCCTTATTCTGTGTAGACTGTACTGATGAAGTCGTAAGCGGATTATCATTTTAAAAAATACTACATTTTTTTTTTTAGAATAGCCACCAATCGTTAGTATCTACTGTATATCGTTGTTTTTTTTCTTCCTTTGAATATCTGATCAAAGGAAATGTTCATCTCTAAAATTGTATATCAATGATACATTTACTTTAACGATGACTCATAGTTACATGTCAAAGACGCAAACCTGAACTTCTTCTTCAATTCCAGCCCTGAATTTACGTAGACACTATTTGCATTGCTTAGAATGATGTCTGGTCTACTTGACAAAGACAGCAGGAGTTTCCTGTATATGCCATGCACTTCAGACTTGCCAACTTTAGCTGCTTTTAAACCTGCAACAGGGGAGGGAACAATTAGAGAGGTAGACCTAGAAACCTGTTTTGTTTCTTTCAAATTGTTAACCCTACTAAAAAGAAAAAAAAACAAGTACACAAATATATATCTAAATAATAATATGATTTGTCCATACAAATAGGACCGCCCCCCCCCCCATTCAGAGGGCTAGAGTGGGGAGGGCAGTAGAAGCAATACCCAATAAGATATCAGAAGTGTAGCGATATGATAAAAAAAATTCTATAGTAATTCAACTAATTTTATTCACAAACTATGATTTCTAAATAACAGTAGGACCGCTTTCCCCCACTCAAAGGGCTTAGGTTGAAAGGGCAGTAGATGTATTGCCCCCCCCCCCACCCCACCCAATAGGCTTACAGGGGAACGACATAATATAAAGATCGGTTAAAATATCAATTACAAGTTTTTATTATATAGATATTAAATGATTC